TATCTCTGGTTCTTTCTCCTCACATCAGTCCAGGGTCTACCCCTGCCATTCCCATTTCCCATGGACAATCTTGCACCATAAGAACACACATACAGACACCAGGAAAGCTCCATCCATCCTGGCTTTCCCACATTCAGTCAACTATTCATCCACCCATCCACCTCCTGCCATCCATCTGGGCAGGAACCCACCCACACCATGCACTCTGGAATCCACTCAGCCATTCTCTTCTTGATCCATCATGGATGGACGATGAGGATGATGATGAGGATGATGATGATGATGATGAAGATGGATGATGATCATTGTATTGATGGACGGTGAATGAGAATAACAATGAAGGGTGAAGGTCATTGTGGTGATGGGGAATGATGAAGAGGATGGGGGATGGTGGCAGGTGTTGGTCAATGGGTGGTTGAAGGGTCGATGATCAACTGGATGGTACCGAGCTCAGTGGTTCCTTGATGGTGGGTGGGAATGAGATGGGGATGGGATCCATCCATCCATCCCTCCTTCCATCCATTTATCCATCCCTACTTCCATCCATCCATCCATCCATCCATCCCTCCATCCATCCATCCATCCATCCCTCCGTTAATCCATTCATCCATCCATTGATCCATCCATCCATCCATCCATCAATCCATCCATCCATCCATTCACCCATCCATCCTTCCATCCCTCTATCCATCCATCCATCCACCTGTTCATCCATCCCTTTACCCTCCCAAAGCTCATCTCCCCACCCATCATTCCCAAACTGTGAAACAGGGGGTTGGAATTTAGGACCTGTTGGGGGTGTAGGGACTGGTGGTGGGTGATGGATGGATGAAAATGGACGATGAGATAATGATCAAGTGGATGGATGATGATGATGATGGTGGTGATGATGATGATGATGATGATGATGATGATGATGATGGTGGTGGGTGACAGTGGCTGCTGCTCACTAGGCTGGTGGAAGGGTTGATGGTTGACTGGATGGTGCTGGGGTCGGTGGGTGCTCATTGGCCAGTGGGGATGCAATGGTGGTGGGATCCCCTTGATCCCTGCATTGCTCCCTCCCTACATCCTACCCTCCACCCATACAGCCCTCTTTACATCCCTACTTCCATCTCTCCAACCCTTCCTCCCTGTGCCCTTCCCCCTCACCCGTGGAGACGTCGATGG